AAAATACAATTAAAATATTGGAGCAGCAAAAAACATCAGACGAAGATAACAGGCTATACGCAATGTATGAATAATAATGTTCGTGTGCAAAATGTGTACTATATTGGTAAATGCATATTATTATAGAATAGTAAAATAATATCTTTTATTTCTCTCCATTTAACGACCACTCTTTATAACGCCGAAAAATGTTCAGTCCATTAAGTGTCGTTATATAGAGTTTACACTGTATTTCTTTTTTAAATAAATTTCTTTCATCTGAAGAAAAGCAAAAGGAAGAATTCTTCCATATTTTCTGTTTTTATAAGCACTTATTATTTTATTGTTGACGACCGATTTACTAATTAAAAAGTTTGGATTGCGTAGATTGGGGGAGACATTACAGTAGCGTTTTATGATACATCGTCAAGAAGTTTTAAAGCAGTTGATTACTACATATCACACATTAGTCAATGCGATGGCAAACTGGGCGTCTGTCCTGATGAGAGGATAGGTGGCCGAAACGATGTGATACTTTTAAATGGCGAAAGAAAGAATGGGGTCACAACAATCACTTACACAAGACCTCTTCAAACGAACGAAGCAATAAATGATCGACCCATTCCATCGCAAGGCGAAGTAATTAATTGATTCTTTTATGATAATAAGAACATAGTTTTGACTTAAACATTACTCTGTAGGTAAGTATAATAGCAGCAATCGGACCTTTGAATGCGCGCAAAGAAGCGAACGCTCATTCTCCAATGGACAAAAATTCGGACGATATCAGGATTGATTTTAGTAGCTTCGACGACCACGAATGTACCGCTAGTTTATACGATCTTGTGGATGATGATGGACCAAAACCGTGGACACCAGCCAAAATTATCGGTGATTATTTTTCTTACACAAACAACATAGACGTGGGGACGGAGTATAAAATATCATTGTGGACGAGGCAGTGAAAATTTGCAGGGGAGGACGGGCGGTACTCATATAGAGGTGTCTGGATTTTATAGGCTGCGTCGTCAATAACATGATAATAGGTCATTAATTATTAATTAGGTCATCCTAAACTCGTGTAGTTTGTTCGTCATTTGCGGAAAAATTGCTCTAGTTAGGAAATACCCATCAACATAAACGTAATATATTGAGTAATATTCAACATCACTACATAGTATAAAACAAAGTCGCTTTCCCGCTGTCTGTCCCTATGTATGCTTAAATCTTTAAAACTACGCAACGGATTTTGATGCGGTTTTTTTTAAAAGATAGAGTGATTCAAGAGGAAGGTTTATATGTATAATACATGCATAATATAGTAGGGAAACACTGATAATTTTAGAGGTTTCTAATGTGATGTCGTAAATAAACACATTTTTTGCGCTTACATTGCAAACGCTGGCTGAACCCTACGAGATAGATCAAAATAATGTACTACAATATTGTACATCTTAAAAGGGTCTACAAAAAAGTCCGCGATGGTATATGTCTATCTCTTAGGGATAACCCACAATAACCATTTTTATCCTTTACTTTTTATGAGAAATAATGACTTATTTACGAAGCGATTGTAGGCAATACAGCATTAATTCTTATCCAATTAAGTACCTTAAATACATTGTGCATTTAATATAGATCAATATGGCCCTTTACAGCATGTAATTTAAATGAATATTTTCGAAGATATTACAGATTTAAAATGCAGGGACATAGCGGTTGCGGCGGTACCGGCCGGGAGGCCGGTTTGTATTGTCTAATGACAAAAAAACTGTGAATGTTGTATATAAAGACATTCTGTAGTATATTTAGTATGTTCAGGGGGTATCTTTTGAAGATTTCCCCTTTTCGATAATAATCTAAACAAAACAAAAATATATTTAGTATCAGCATTGCACCCGTGCGAAGCTGGGGCGGGTCACTAGTATTTTATAAAATGTAACTATTATGTTTATTATTTACATTCAAACAAAATAGTTTTTGATAAATGAAAATTGTAATTTCGAAGAAGGCATCAATAGATGCTGATGTCACAAAAAACAATAATTTTGCAAAAATAATTAACATCGTTTCAAACACTAAAAACAAGAGTAATAAACGTTGTTCATTGGTATTGGCATTGTTCAGTCGTCGACCAAGCTTGTCAATCAGTCTTAAGCCAAAATGGCAAACCAAGCATTTACCATGGTTGGTTCGATATTGGAAAACCTTGGGTCAATCTCGGACCAAGCTTGGTCCTATGGTGACTTCCTACATGGGATCGTCACGTGAACACTAAATCTTCCTTCAACTCGGACGCTTTCCTACACGAAATTTAAAACAAGAGTGTGACATCCCTGCACTCTATCTTTGACTGTGTTAGCTGATTATTTATCAGCAAGCCGCTGTGTTACTCCCCAATTGACGTACGGGTAGCCAATAGAATCTAGGCACCTTCAACCCTTTGAGATCCACCCCACAGCTATTTTATTTCGTCACTCTACACCTATGTCTACGATAAACATTTACGACAAACTTGTTTTATCGAAAATTTTACCGGAACTATCAGCTTTTTACATACCTATATATGTTCACAGGCGAATCCGAATTTATAGCTCGAATAGGACCCACGGGTGGTAAGAGAGGTTACACTCCCCTTACAGGTCATCCATCTTGGGGAATAGCTTGGTACATCAATGAACTTCTTATCCCCGAAATCACTGTAGAAAGGGGTCAAACATACACGTTTATAGTAGAAGGAGGGAATGACAATACCAACCCTGCAAGGTACCACCCTTTGTACATCACTGACAGTAGCGAAGGCGGTTTTGGTCAGAAGAATTTGAATGAGCAGAAAAAACAAAAAGTTTACGCTGGTATCGCGTACGATCGGGAAGGATATCCGTTCCCTACTGCAACCGGAAGGTACTGCGAATACGTTCATAAGACTATCGACAAGTCCGCGGAAACGGAAACGTTTAAGGAATATTTCGAAACATTCAGACTGGAATGTGACCAAGGAGAGCCAGGGTACTTGAATTGGACGGTTCCAATGGACGCTCCAGATTTACTATATTATCAGGTAAGAGACTTAAAAATCAAGTATCAAAAATCAATCTCTTATAAGCATTTTGTATGCATTAACTATAACTTTTTTTTATAATTACTGTAGCTGTTAATTTTTATAGTGTTATACGCACAACAATCTCGGATGGAAAATCAATGTGGTCGATCCGGGTTATATTTCCCATCAGAATGGGGAAAACATTAGTGCTGGTACATTATCGAAACCATTAGTTGCCATGACAGCAATTACTTTTGTTTTACTTATAACACGTAACTTCGATAACCATTTGTAACATTCATGCGAAACCATATGACAATACTATTTACTGCTGAAAGACTTTATGTAAATGGAATGAATGTGAGAAACGACAATAACAAATTATCATTATCACATAGATATAAGTATTTTACATCCGTTTAGTCCATTTCAATATTGAGTGTTTTTATATATTGTACTTTGAAAACGAAAGCAATTATAAGAAGCTTCTTGTTATAAAAAACCTAAACATTTTCACGAAATAAGCAATAATCGAGAGAGATAATTATCTAATATTTGTTTCAATGTCTACAACATTCGTAAAATTATTGATACTATAAATTACTTATAATTCAAACAAAGTTTCTGTAATATCTTCCCACACATATCTATAACTTCTTTATAAGGAAAATAGTTAAGTTTAATATTACTTTCCTGTAAAGTTTGTTATAAAATTTGTTCTTAAAGCTGAACTAATGTCACGGTGAACCTATTGTGAAAACGGCTTTAGTCAAATATACCTACATATTATTTCGAATAAACGTATCTTATCCACAGACTTTAGGATAATATTGAGGTATACAGGTAACATGAGATAGCAGGTGCCTGGAGTCCATTGGCTAGCCGCAGTAACGCAGAGTTGCAGCCAATACAATCTAGGCACCACCGTATGGGTACCATCCATCATCTTCATCTCGCGTCATATATTATTCCTTCGTCTTTGGTGTATGATTATTTCAGCATTTTACTGTACAAAATTAAACAAAATATACCACTTTCTTTAGTTTCACCAAAGTTGAGAAGATTGAGACCTCAATAACTATCGTTTATCTTTACCATTATTCTGTAAGTTTAGGTGAAATAGTTGCCATGATAAGAAGTTTCTCATAACTGCATTTCTTGAGTTGTTACAAAGGAAAATCTGTATGTACTTATATTGCTATACATCATTAAGTAATGTAACTTACTGTAGATGTATCTACACGTGTCGTCTTTTATGAAATGTTTTGCCTGCTTTCACTCTAAAAGGGACATGATCACATTACACCTCGAACAAATGCATAAAAATGGCTATTCCTTTTCAGAATAGAAGATGGGTTGATAAGGCCAATTTTGGTCTATCCAACGATTTTTTAAATAATTTCTTTAATGAGCTCAGAAGTAAACCGATTTAGAACACACTAATATACTATTATAAAATAAAAATATAAAAATAACAGATAATCTACATTATTCAAAACAGCAAAATTAAAGAACAAATTTAAAAATTGATAATACAGAAGCAAAAGAAAGTATATAGTGAGTATCGTAGACCAAAAATAGGCTCTGTAAATCAACTCCCACATTAGGGTGAGAGTAGACATGACCTATAAACATAGCCAGTTACTGGTGCGTCAATTTATGAGAATGTTAGACAATAAAAGGTGATGATTGCTATTTGCACAAATTCGACAATAATTTTAAAGAACTATCTGTAAATGATATTGTATAATGTATATCTATTATATATGCTAATCTCGAGGCTGTCTTTTGACAATAACGACTACTTTTATTGATTTTATATTTGAAATGCTTCTATTTATGGTCTTTAAACGTTTAATATTGCTATTTAATAATAATATATAGAATTTCTATTGCAAATAATACATAACTGAAGCAGAAAATAATAAGAGAATCTTTTTTATTGTGAAAAATAGTACTTTAGTACATAATTATATAGTAACATTTTTAGAGACATCTATTGTTTATATTTATCTCATTATCGGTATTAATTGATTCCTGGATAAGATTTTTTAAATAAATACAATAGGTTACAAACTCTGTATACAAAAATAACATTTTCGGCAGTTTTTGTAAACTACTGTCTACATAATACTGTTCTTGGTTTATCATTTTTATAGATTAATATAGGTACTGGACATATTTGACAACGAAACACATTTCACACTAGTTTTTAAAACAACTGCAATTATTCGTAATAAAATCTACAAAAAGTTTCATAAAATGCATGATGTAAATAAAGTCCTCCCAAGAAGTAGTACTTTTTTAAAACTCAATTTAATACACTTTTCACTTATTATTTTTCATTAAAATTTGAATATTTTGTTTGATAAAAAATATTGAATGCAACTAAAATATTCATGGTTAAAATATAGTTTGTTGCAATTTCCTCAAAGCATATCAAATAAAAAGAGAAACAGTTTTACCTTATCTACGAAATGCTAACTGTTTAAAATGTGTATTTTATTAAAGTATGTATGTAGGTATGTATTAGTAAAGGTATGTAGTTAACAAGAAGATTTTTGATGTCTAGTATTTTTTGTTATTAAATAATACCGTTATTAAATATTTTTTACGTTATTGTTAAGATGATCTGTACGCCAGAATCCATCTTCTGAGTGTTGAGGTTGAATAATTAATTTATTGGAGTGCCTTTTTTATGACTTTCAACTTTTACGCCCATGCGAATGTTTAAAGTGAAGGTTTACTTAACTTTTACTAAGTCTTGATACTTCTTAGTGTTTTTAGAGTAAATTTCATATGTATATTGTTATTCCGTTTATAAATAAAATATGTGTATTTACGTATTTACTTTTATTAATATTTTTTTTTAAGTAATTGAAAACTTCTTGCATAATTCATAACTTTTTGCGCGTTTTTAAACTTTTCCCGCTCATTATGGCGTCACATTTTCAGTTGCATTCAAAACTACAGTGCTGTTGAATTGGACAAGTTCCTGATCAATTTAGTATTTTAAAATGTAATTTCTTAACGCTTTAATGTATCTTATGCAATTTTTGTATTGTTTTTTAGTCATATATTAGTTACCATTTAAACAAAAGTTTCCTGTTTTTTTTTTATGCCCATGCACTGAACGCAACCGTCAGTGAAGTGATTTTGATAAGTTAATTCAACATCCGTTGTGCGTCCATATTGAATTTTGCTGTTGACATTACGTGCGGTGTAGTCGAGGTGTAGTGTTATTTCAGTCGAATTCAATTTTAAAACGAATCATATAAAGTAGCTTAATGTGAAAGGATTGTTCATATAAATCACTAACAATGGCTCGCTATGGGCAAAGGCCCGAAAATGCACTTAAACGTGCTCATGGTATGTTCACATGTTCAATATGGGCCGGGGCATCTCAATTCATTTATAATTTTTAGAATTTATTGAAGTCGGTAAGCCAGCTAGAGCATTAGATACTTTGCAAGAAGTCTTTAGGAATAAAAAATGGGCTTACAACAACTGGTCCGAATCTGTACTGGAACCTATAATGTTCAAATACCTCGACCTCTGTGTAGAACTGAAAAAGTCACATATTGCCAAAGAAGGTTTGTTCCAGTACCGAAACATGTTTCAATCTGTAAATGTTGGTTCTTTGGAAAATGTTATTCGAGGATATCTTAGAATGGCTGAAGAAAAGACTGAATATGCCAGGGAACAGTCTGCTCAAGCTGTTGTTGATATTGATGATCTTGACAACCTTGCTACACCAGAAAGCATATTATTAAGGTATTTATAGTATTGTAGAAAGGTTTAATAGGTTCTGATTTAATCAATTTTAAAAATAAAATAGGATAACTAATCTTAATTTATGTAATGTTAATTTAGATGATAGGGTACTGAGTCTTCTTGAAAGTTTAATCTAATTCAATTTCTAACTGCTTTAATATTAAATCTTAAAGTTTACAAAAAGTGGACTGAAATAAATAATATTGTTTAATTAATGCATTTAATTCTAATTTAAAAGTGCTGTTTCTGGAGAAGATGCTCAAGATCGTTCTGACCGTACGATATTAACACCTTGGGTGAAATTTTTATGGGAATCATATTGTCAGTGTTTAGAACTTCTAAGAACAAATGCTCATGTGGAAACATTATACCATGACATTGCTAGGATGGCTTTTCAATTTTGCTTGAAGTATAATAGAAAAACTGAGTTTCGTAAACTATGTGACAAACTGAGGAAACATTTGGAAGATATTTGTAAGCTTCCAGCCCAAGTTGCCAATGTCTCCATTGCTAAACCTGAGACCCAGCAACTTAACTTAGAAACAAGGTTGTACCAGTTAGATTCTGCTATACAGATGGAACTTTGGCAGGTACACTTTTGAATAAAGAGATTTTTGATACAGATTTTTTAAATTGTTATGCTTTAATAGGAGGCATACAAAGCTATTGAAGATATCCATGGGCTAATGAATATGTCTAAAAAACTTCCTGTACCAAAAACTATGGCAAATTATTATCAAAAATTAGCCATGGTGTTCTGGAAAGCTGGAAATTATCTTTTCCATGCATCAGCTTTGTTTAAACTGTTTCAATTATCTAAAGAAATGAAAAAGAACATTACCCAGGAAGAATTGCAAAGGTAAAATGTTACATTGGTGGTATATATTGTAAATCAGTTTTAATTGTACATTATTAACTTGTTACAGAATGGCTTGCCGAGTACTTATTGCAACTTTGTCTATTCCACTGCCATCTGCTCATCCTGAATTCGATCGTTTTATAGAAACCGACAAATCGCCACTAGAAAAAGCGCAAAAACTTGCTGTGCTTTTAGGTTTGATGCAGCCACCAACTCGTGCTAGCCTACTTAAGGATTTGGTAATTATAATTAGCTTTTATTTTGTAACATATAGAAATAATTACATACATCATGATTACTTAAAAATATTCTTTTTGTATTTCTTTTTTCAATTTGAAACTAGTGATTAAGTTTGTTATTTTTTAGGTCAGAGTAAATGTAATTAATCTTGCAACACCCCAACTTCAAGAACTATACAATTGGTTAGAAGTGGATTTCCACCCTTTATTACTTTGTTCAAGGGTTCAGTCTGTTATCAATTTCTTAAAGTCTGATGAAGGTTCCCCATTAGTTCAGTATATACCTGCGCTCCAAGATGTGACACTGGTTCGCTTAGTTCGCCAAGTAGCTCAAGTTTATCAAACCATTGAGTTTGGTAGACTCATAGAGCTAGCCCAATTTACAACCCCATTTCACATGGAACGTCTTCTAGTCGACTGTGTAAGGCATAATGATATGCAAATTCGAATAGATCATGGAAAACAATGTATTCATTTCGGGATTGATCTAAGTGAAAGTCAGAGGGAAGATATTCCTGAAGGACCTACCTTGCAAGCTATGCCCAGCGAAATGATACGCAATCAACTTATTAATATGTCCACTGTGCTCCATCAAGCAGTGAATGTTATAAATCCAAACAAAAAGAAGGTATAATTATTAGAAATAATTAAATTTAAGCTGTTGGTAGGGTTTAATTATTTTTAGTTCAACTAGTATGGTAATTATTAAGATAAACTTTATATATAAGTAAATGCAATAACAGCAGTAAACTTCTGATAAGTGGTAATTTATCTTTAATTTTTTTTAATATGTCTCAGGTGGAAAGAGAAGCTTTAAAGCATGCAATGGTTAAGAATTATCATGAAACAAAGGTTCAGGAGCATCAGCGTATATTGGAAAGACACCAGATCATAGAAGATAGAAAAGAATACATCGAGCGTATGAATACTGTACGAGAGGAAGAGGAGCAAAGGAGGTAAACTTTTTAATAATTTAAGGTTTAATTTATATATTAAAAGTGATGATTTGTTTCTTAGGTTGGAAGAAATGCAACGTCAACAGGCATTAGCTGAACAAAAACGCTTAGAACAAGAAAGGGAAGAGAGAGAACGCAAGAGAGCTTTAAATGAAATACAGCAAATAAAAGATCGTCATCTTAAAGAAAAAATGCAACAGATTTCTCAAACTACTCACGGTCAAAGGGTCTTAAAGAAATTGGAAGAAGACGTAAGAATTTTTATTTTATTTTTAACTATTTACATATGTTTGTTTTTATTAATACTAATTAATAATCAACTAATTTTTTTCATTAAGGATATAAAAAAAATGGACGCTGATCAGATAGCAGCTCGTGAGGCGGAGGAACTACAAAAGGAACGACGAGAACTTCAAGCCAAGTTAAAGTCTCAAGAAAAGAGAGTTGATTACTTTGAAAGGGCGAAAAGACTGGAAGAAATTCCCTTACTCCAAGCCTACTTAAAAGAGCGACAACAACAAGATCAGGCTTTCTGGGAACAACAAGAAAAGGAGAGAATTGCTGCTGCCATTGAGGAACGTAAACTTGCCGTTGCCACTTGTGAACGTTTAGCAAGAATGAAACCTGACAAAGACGCATTCCTCGAAATGCTCTTAAAGAAGAGGAACAGTATTTATGAGGTATAAAAATCTTTTGTATCTGTAAAACCTTGTTTCAACCCGTTTATGTTTTGTTACTAGGAAAAATTACGCAAATTCGAAGAACGTCTTGCAGAAGAAAGGAAGAAACGCCTTGCAGAACGAAAAGCTACACGTAAAGAAGAAAGACGTGCAAGATGGCTGAAAGAGAAACAAGAAGAGGAGGAGCGTAAACGAGAGGAAGAAAAACGTAGAGAAGAAGAAGAACGTGCCCGTCTTGAAGAAATCGCTAGAAAAGAAAGGGAAGAACGAGAGAGACAAGAGCGTGAAGAAAGGGAGAGAAAACAAAAAGAACAACAAGAAATGCTAGAAAGAGCAGCAGCCAAGCAGAGAGCACGTGAAGAAGAAATAGAAAGAAAATTACAAGAGGAACGTGAGGCCCTTAAAGAGTCTACACCTGCTTCGTCTTGGCGAAGTAAGGGCGAAACAATGTCTTCTTCTGACGTTAGTGACTCTTGGAGGCGACCAGAAAAGGGCGATGAGTCTAAGAAACCTGAGGCATGGAGATGTGAGTAAAACTTTTTATTGTTAAAAATTTCTATTTAATGATGGTTCAAGACTGGTTCTTATTTTCCTCATTTTCAAATTGTATGTTACCAACACGCCAGGAACTTTAGAAATACTTACATTAAAGAAATCGTCATGTTACATCAGCAGTTATTACTAACAAGTATCCTAAGACAGTTGAATGAAATATTCCCACTTATACGTCTTAATATAGCCTGCAATTGTACCAGGTTTCTGATTTCTTAGTCAATATTTGTGGTCATGAAATACATTTAAACTATGTATTAATTTTAAAATCTACATGTCATTTATAATTAAAACTTCAATTGTGTTGTTAATATTAATACTGAGAAGTTGCTGAAGAAAACGATGACAACTTTAGTGTATATAAAGTAGATAGATTAGATCATTTGTTATTATTGTATGTCATTATTCTAAAAATATTAATGGAAAATATTTTTAGCTCCAGCATTATCACAAAAACCCCGTGACCAGGACCGTGATAAAGACCGTGAACGTGAAGATGCTGATAAGGAACGTGATCGAGAGCCAACGTCGTGGCGCAATAAGGAAAGTCGTGATGGTCCTCGAGAAATAGGTCGTGGAGGCGGAGAACGCTATCGTAAAGATGACCGTGATCGTGGAGATGATCTTTATCCCCGTGAGGATCGCTACGACCGAGACCGAGATCGTCGTGATAATCGAGACCGTGACATAGACAGAGACAGAGATAGAGATAGAGATCGCCGAGACGATAGGGATAGGAGAGATGACAAAGATCGTTATAGGGACGACTATAGAGATCGTCGCGGCGACGATAGAGACCATCGTAGAGATGACAGGCGCAGAGACGACAGGGACAGGGATCGTGATCGTTACATTAGGGATGATTATCCAGATCGTCGTGGTGAAAGATTTCGGGAAAGGAGAGACGACAGAAGAGACGATAAGGATAGAGACCGAAAAGACGATAGACGATTCGATCGCGACAGACGAGACGGAGATAAAGGAAAAGATACTAGGATTACAAGGGGTCCAGGTGGAGGAAGTGGAAGTGTTCGAGAATCTACAGGAAATAGCTGGCGCGCTGGAGGAGTACGCAAGGATGACTTACGTCGCGATGACAAAGAGGACAGGAAGATCAAGTCTGAAAAACGTGAGTCTTGTTATTTAAATATAATAAGGTAGTCTAAATAAGCTAATGCATAAGTAAATATGTATTAAAACTAGATAATTAATTCAATGCTATCATTTTGTCTGCAGCTGAACAAGTTTCTGCAAACAAAGATGGTTGGACATCAGTGGGTTCTAAACGTCGTTAATTTGTCATCAATATGAAAACAATTATTGCAGTTTAACGAAATAAATAGTAAATACTGATTTATTTTTACAGGTTATTTTTACGGAAAATGGTAAATTGGCTAGTTTAATTGATCCTCCCAGTTATCCTTCAAAACAAACCCTTTCCCTATTGTTTGTTACATATTGGGCTTTATTATTGTCCTTTTAAGGCAAACAAACAAGTCGTTATATTCATAGATCACCTGTAATTAAAAGCAAACATTTTAATGCTTATACTATAGATCCCCAATAAATATAGTAAACGTAATGTTACTTATTTTTTCTTTTCATGTAACATGTAGGTACTAATAAGTATCTACGTATATTTATCTTTAAAATCTGTAAAGTATTACGTAAAAAAAAGATGAGTTTAGCAAACGGGTATTATTATTGTTTTGTAAGTAGCTTTCGTTGGAGTAATTAGATTCTTTTGTTTCAATTTGCAAATTTTACAAGCAGGTCAACAATTTAAAATGCGATTACTTTGAAAGGG